CAATTTGTGTGATAAAGGTTGCCCATGGCTTGGCAGGCCTGACCTGCCCCAGTTACTTTTTCGCCGCACGTGTGACAAATACCTATGGACAAAATATCAATTTTACTCCTACAGTGTATTACAGTCTCTTTTTTAAACTTTTTTTTTTTAAGAGGTGCAATTAATATCTTCAAGCTGTGTGTCGGTGTCGCTATTTTTAGGGTTCAATGAGAGTGCTTTGTCACAACTATCACTCTACAGTTTAGTCGCATTGGTGAGGTTTAAAAATACCCCCTCGTCGATACTCGATACAATAAGATCCGCTCTTCAGGGTCAATTAACTGTCAGAAGCATATACGAATGCCGTAATACAGGATAGAATGAATTGGGGGGAAGTTAAGAAGGCCACTTACAACTATCAATGGGTAACACAGGCCCTGCCATTCCTTCAACGGTATTATCCTTTATCCTTCATTCGTTGCTCCCGTGACACTTGCAGTTTCGATTGTACGGGCTCAGTTTCACTAGGCCAGTCCCGCTCGAACTAGAATCCGCCAACGAGTCGGACTAGTCTATCTATAACGAGATTACTTACCGCGTCGAGAGCGCGCGACCTGGCCACGGGCTGTTTGCCGTCGTGGTGTGTACAGGACGTTATACACGAAGAATAGAAGCGGAAAAACGAAGAGGAACACTAAGCTCAACCTAAACGGCCAGCCACTTCTCGACTGACATTGGCTCGCTCGACTGAAGTTCCTATCCGCTCTCGACGCGGTTCTTTCAGTTCCTCGTTGCCTACGGAGTATATAGCCACGGCGAAAGCAATTTGCATCGAATGTGTTTATCTGCATTGATAAGTGTTTTACGGTTGCGTAAACTTGGTTGAGTAATTTTCGAAGACATTAAAACGACGAACATTAGACTTCTAACTTTATTACACGCGTTGGACATTTTAGAGACCGGATTTTTTTTTACTTTTATGTAACCCTTTCGCGATTGAATTTTCTTTCTGCAAGAATTTCTCGCGGATATTGAAATCGAGACGAAGTTTTGTTCGGGTATTCTCGAGTGAGACATATGTGTAGCGAAAGGGTTAACTTCGACGTATCTTCGGACTTCTATTGTTCGAAGATTCTCTTCGTTGAAACGGGGGAATAACTGATTACAATGTATAATGGATGTCGAGGAAAGTGTTCAATGTGAACACCACCTTACGGTGCTCACGACACATACACACGATCCAAGGGAGAGAGCCCCGAGTGTACGCGTGCACCAACAAACGCACGTAACGCGCACACTTGTGGCGCTTCACGTAGGTGCGAAGACACGTAGGTGGAAACGAATGGGCAGAGAGTGAATGTCAACGAAACGTCGCGTTAAAAAGTTTCGCGACACACTGAAACTTGACTCCATTTTCCGAAACCGGTCTAGAGGGGAGGGGAGGAGAGAAGTTGTGCCGTGGGAATTGGCACGGTACCCTGCTGCCTGCTGCTTTTTATTTCTTCGGTGAATTGTTTGGAATTATGGATTGGAACGTGTCGAAAATTAAGATCCCCTAATAACGGAATTATCGCTCGATCGTTGCATCTTAATCTCTTTCAGGGTGTTCTCGGTCGCCCGTTCGACCGACCACCAGTCATAAACCATACCCTTTTCGCATCAACACTCAAGCATACACCTAAATAACCTAAGGTTTTTAATTTCAATGCCCGAAGAAATTGGCTCGTAAACCCATTCACGCACTCTTCCGGGTTTTTCTTCACATCCTCCCACTAATTTACCACCTACTTCACCCCTAATTTTCTTTCTAACAGTTTCGTCCTCTTAAAAACAGAGTATCCACAGAAGCATGAAACAAACTGAACGTATACGCCACAGCTATTATATTTGAAATCTACAATAGTAGATAAACGCCTCTATTTCATCACTACCGTCATTAACGTATTAGATATTCAGTTGTTTTCAGCGCAGCGATTCTCTACGGATTCGACCATTGAATAGCATTCGAATAGCGGATTCGAGCATCGTCATCGTACATAGGGATACTATCAACAATGTTGGAAAAACAGACATTGTTATGATTACTGGGACACCCGGTATATTAGATCTCCCGGAAAATTCGTGGTGATTTTTAAGTAATTAAGCAAACTCCATATTTTTGGAGCTATAGCTTCTTGATTCTGTAAGATATGTGCTGGTTCGGTCTACAACCTTTCGCCATCTTTTCGGCAACTTGAAAATTTTATTTTGCCCAAAATTTTGCTGTTTTTCTTCGTTGCTTTAAGATCGAAATTTTCATGGACTACCTTCTATCATTTTTTAATTTTTGCTGAAACGAAAGAACTCTATTTTTTTCTGCAATTTAATTTGTCGATTCTGTAACGACAGAACTTTCAAAAGACACGTGAAAAAATGGTCTTTCAGAATAATACACGTACCAACAACACCTATCGAAAATCGACACGAACTTTCCAGACGACCTAATTAAATCGTGGCTAATAAAATGACTCGTTATTGCACGGATAGATTTATAGAAACAGTGAAATATCATCTGACGATCGTTTTATCGGTTGTTTCTTACCGAAGTATTCCCCCTCCTCCTCTTGCTTCTCCATCTCCTCTTCCAGTTGCCTTGTCAGCTCTTCGATTTTTCTCTCCGCTTCGGTGGGTCCCTGCAAGAAATAAATCACATCCCGCGTTCTGATCGGTACTGACAAATGGTGCCATAGATCGGGATGGGATTTCGTCACAGGGTAACATATTTTTGCATGCGGTTACAATAACGCTCCGAGTTGAAGAGGGAAAAAAAGAAAGAAGGGAGATACAGAGAGTGTTACATGCTTCACGAGGATGCGTACAGTGTATGAATAAAATATTGCGCGGTAACGATACAAGTGGTTGTCAGGAGCGAACAATTTACTGCGTATGATTCAGCGTGAGTTCGAGGAAAGAACTCGTCACGAATCGTAAGATATCGCGAGCGAATCGCGCGCGCCGTTTCTTTTAACGCGCTGCCAAATGTCTACGAAATCGATGAAATCATGGGCGGTTAGATTTCTCGCCGATCGCGGAAGCGACTATTTTATCGAATCCGTTCGAAATAATATTTTTCGTACGGACGAACCCCGTTTTAATCTTATCGTTACATAGGTCAAACGTTATGTAAAGTATCCAGCGATAGCGGCTGACATTTGTGAGATCATCGGTTAAATATGAAAAGCAACGTGTGTACATTTTCGTAACTCCCGTCTCTCCTTGGACAAGCATTGCATTACCAAGGAGAAACATGAGAAAAAAGAGTAGACAATTTTCATTATCTTTCTAATCGATAAACTTCGATAAAGAGACATCGCCGTTAAATCGGACCATTGTTAGAGAGTTAGCCGCAATTCCTTTTATATGATATCAGCATGCAAATAGATCAACGCTTGGCATTCGGCCAAAATAAATCGAAAGCAACGATGCGTTCCCCTAACCCAATTAACGTGATTGCAGTGTTACAGAGTGGACAGGTTTTGCAAACATAAAAAGCACAGCAGGGGAAAGGGTTAGCGTGTGTGCGTTTTTTCTTGTTTTCTTTTCTTTTCTTTTTTTTTTCACTATCGTATTAGCCAGTTTCTTACTGATTGCCTAGGTGGTATAACATTGTAGGGTAGCAGTCCCTTGCCGGATGTCGGTTTGATTGGTGGACTGACTGACTTTCTTTCCTCTGGTTCTGGCTCAGAGGGCCTTTGTAGCACAGGTACACCAGCATTTAAGAAAACTGGACCAGCCACACCACTGGTCACTCCTGGAGGGAGACTAGTGATTCTAGGCCCATGGATATTTGGATCAGATTCAGTGGTGTTTGGTGCACCTGTGGTCACTGGTGTTTGTACTTGACCACGTATAGGACTTCCAATGGTATTGTTTGTGGAAGGTGGTGATATGTGTCTTGGTGTATTAATCACATTTTGTGCAATTGTATCTGACGATGCTTGATTGTGGGTTGGACTTGCTTTTGGTGAACCTCTTACACCATTGTTATTGGCCACAATTCTGGATGAGTCACTACGGCTGGGTGAATATATGGGTGAGGTTTTTGATGTTTCTGAAGGTTCAGGTACATCGTGAACAAAGCTTCTGTCATTTTGTAGATTACTTAGTCTTAAATGTTCAGATGATCTGTTGGATGAATAAATTGGGGAATTTCTAGCAGGAAAATCTGGCCTAGGTTCTTGGTGGTGATAGTTTCTCTCACTTGGTGGTAATGCTCTACTTGGAGAATAACAGGGAGAATTGCGACAAGCAGATTGCTCTCCTTGCCTCACACCATACACCGGTGAGTTTCTTGCTTGAGTTTCTCCAGTAATGTTTGCACTTGTAGTTCTTGCGGTTGATTCAATGTACGGTTTGTAATTTTGGGGACTGTCTTGTCTGTATTGCGGCTGTTGTACACTTTCTATATGATTCGATGCTCTAAATCCGTGTTGTCCACTCATCGAACTGTCCAGAGATCCACGATAATGATGGGGTTCTGGAGGTAGACGTATTGGTGGAGACTCACTGTGATAAGGAAGTCCCGATCTAGGAGAATGTTGTTGTTGTTGTTGCTCAGAATTATAATTAAAATTCCTGGTTGGTGTTTGTAATTCAGATGGTGGCACGTAAGCACTTCTGCCAGCTTGATGATCCAAAGACGAGGAAGATCCTTGTAAGTACCTTGATGTAGAGGAATCGACAGAACGTTGTAAACTTGAACCGTCGTAACTTTGACCACGTATATTGCTTCCTCTTTGTTGAGTGTACGACAAACTCTGTGTCATACCTCTTTGATTTTGTGCTTGACCCACTTTACCAGTCATAACAACATAATCACCACCGTTAATTGTGGCTGGATGATAATAATTAGGTGGGACCTGAGGGCCTGGTTTATTTTGAGTGTTCTCTGGGAAATGCACCTCCTGAATATTCTCATAAACAGGAGGTGCTTCGTACGGGGGTAACTCCTTTGCTGGTGATGCAGACTGATACCGATTTCCAGTGGGCACCTGTGGTTGTGCTTTTCTAAAAGTAGGTTCGTAAGATTCACTTGCTAAAGAACCTCTAGGACTACTCTTGGGGCTCTTCCTAGACTCCACTGGATGATAATACGGCGGATGAGGTTGATTCTGTTGCGGATAGTAATCAATGTTTTCATATACCGGTGCTTGTTGATGACTCATCCGATTTTGATTCTGCTGTTGCTGTGCACTGATCTGTTCCACGGGTTTAGGTGTGGCAAACCTCGACGCAGCTATGATATTTTCACGTTCATACAGCTTATAATCAGTTGTCGACTGTCTGCAGGTGTCAGCATTGCCCTCAATGAAACTCTCAATAGCACCAACCGGTCTACCAGGCCCTCTGACATCCGTTCTACTTCCTGTATTCCTCGACACGGGTACCTGGGCCTCAGGTCGTGATCCCGCGACCCTACCGGTACCCGTTGCACCGCCGGCGTCAGTGGGTTCATCCCCAAGTTGCAGATAACCTAACTTTTGTACGTAAGAAGCGTCGGCCGAGTTACACATTGGCAGTGATTCACTTGTAAGGCGATCGTCGATAACAAAAACACTTTTTTTGCCTGTTGCGCAAAAACTGATTCACGGTATGGTTTAAAGGCAGGATCTCGTGAAAATCCTTGTAAAATGATTCGACATCGTTCAGGAAAAGCTGAATCAGCTCGTCGGTCGTCGTGTCAAATCGATCGCCCTCGACTCGATGCACCCAACCCCTCCAACTTTTTCTCACTTGCACTTCTTTTTCTCTGCAATCGCGATTTTCTCACGGAACACGACAAAACACGACGCACCTATCGCGGCCAAGTTTTTACACGGACGTAATCGGCAGGGCCGTTTTTCCCCCACGATTTTGGGATACGCCCCGCGATCACGGCGCCTCGAACTCGCGTCTCCTCGTTTCGACTAGCGTCCGTACACCGGCAAATCTCACAGTCTCGTCCTGCCACGAAAAATCACCACCTGCGAAAATTCACACGATACGCACACACATGCACCCCGCACGCATCGTGGTTCGTCAAACCAGATACCTGCGAGACATTTTCCCCTGCTACGAGTCATCCAGATACGGCCTGAATCTATCCTACTTATCCACGGTGTGGCGCCACCATTACTACGTCATGGTTTATGGTTAAGAAAAGTAAGATCCCTGCAATTCAACCGATGATTCATCCATACTGATCATCCAACGAGTAGAATTGGCGCTCTCGTCGACAGAAACTGGAAACTTCACTTACTCCGATATATGTAGTAACGTACTTCTTTTCAGGTACAACGAAGTACCACTGCATTTCCATAGACTGTAAAATACAGCTTATCCTACGCGTTTACATATTCATTACAAACCATTTAAAGAGTAGAACTTTCGTTCGAGCGTTTCACAAAGGAGAGAGTAGGTTTTTCTACGAGTACAAAGGCTGTCTAAAAAAAAAATGTCCCTCACGGTTTGCTTTCCTTAAAGAAAACGGTACGAATGTTTGTGCATTTAAATGAAGATATCTTCATCGAAAACAGGTAGGAACTTTGCACGAGATCGTTCTCTCCCCTCTTCACCATCTTTCTACCGGTCTCTTTAGGTAGAGCAGAGACGTAAATGCATTCAGTTCTGGCCGAAACAGGTTTTTTTCGGGAACTACCTAGGAACAGAATGGACAGGTCGACAGGTAAAGATACAGGAGCCTGTCTCGCGCGCCATCATGCATTCACGTGAACCGTGTTCGGCATAATAATGCATCGTAATTCCAATACCATCGTCCCGTGTATTGTGTATCTGCTACAATCAACACGATGGAAATTATCTATCAGGAACATCTCTCGCATAGAGTTACTACTTCTACGGAGGAATTTCATCGATAATTAAGAAGAAAAGAAGAAAAATGGTTGGAGAAATTTTCGGGTTTATTTATCGCACCAATCGAAATTAACAAGTTCCTGTTACGATTGCGTTTTGAAAAGGCTTCTTGTCCTCTCGAATGAAAAATGAACCGATAAAAGGCATCGATTCTCGTTAGTCTTAAAGATTTAGGATAATCGACGCCTTGTTCACGAGATCTCGTAACCGACATCGTGATCGATGGATTCTAAGAACGACCAGAAGCAATGAAATTAATCACGCGTACCCGCTGTATCGTGTTCCTTCTTCACCCTCGATTAATTTGCAACAATTGACATACATAATGCATTAGCTACCGTTGCTGCGGAGTGTGTCTTCTTCAATTAGAGTCGAACGAACGCAGGCAACCGTTATCTCTCGATCGACGGAGATGAAATAACGTTTCTATTCTATTCTTCGGAGGAAGAAATAAATATTTTTTTTTTTGTTAATTTTTTATTTTTTCGTTGCTTCTACCAGAGTCGATCCGAGTTGGCTGAGGTTTTGCACGTGTGTTGCCGTAACCGAGAGTGTCTGTCGTCCTACGCGGGAAAGGAACCGACTTTTCTATTCGTTCGTGTCTCGCAGCTGTTCGTTGGGTCGCGATAACGTGGGCGAAAGCGACCTCACTCAACGAAAATTTTATATTTTCGAAAGGTGAGCAAAAATCCCGGATTTCTAGCCTTCGAGCCACCCACCAGCCTCCTGCTGGCACCCACGTTTTTCCAGGCACCTGCGACACACGATTGGTCAATACCTGTTGATCGATCGCTTGATAACACCTTTGACGTAACACGGTACGTGTATAGAGTTTGTCTTTTCATTAGCCTGCTTCTTTGGTTATTTTAATACGACATTTGTAAACATGTAAGCAGCCCATAACAATTTTTTTTTTCGCGAGGGAAAATAATTGAAGATGCCCTGTGTTTATTCTTGGCGCGTGAAAGGGTTGAGGCTGAAGAACCTTGCTTAACCCTTTCGTGACTAAAGTTACTTTTTTAAATTTCTTATGGATTTTAGTTACGATAATATTAGTGAGTCGTATTTCGATGTTTGTTTAGGATTTTTTAGCCGGGAAATCGACTAAAATCGTCCCTCAAGCGTGGAGAGTCTTTTCCCAGACTTCCATTACGAGGACGCTGTTTCTAAGTGAATCGAGGCGATAAAATTCGCCGAATACCTTAAAATCTATCGCAGAAATCAAGTTCCAATCGTGCTACGAAGATTGAATAATTTGCAGAATATTTTTTAAGTCGATTGAAACGATGAAAGAAAAATCCCAAAACGGAGGCTCTCCCTTCCATATTTCCGAATAAATAAATACCAGAACATTTTCGATAGAGTAGTATAAAGTTGATTGCGTATCGGATAGAGAAGTGTGCAGGTAGATGCGGCCGCAACGTGTGTGTCGCAAGCGGAAGTGCAGAAAGGTACGCGGCGATTCGCTTCTGTCGAAGCCGCGGTACGATATGACATCGGGTTCTCATGTACCCGCCACATCGGTACGGCAATAAACACGCGGCTTACGACCATAAGATCGCACATGTGTTCACGTTCTACACGCGCTTACGCATTTACGTACGCGTAAAGAGCGTGGCTAGCGTGGAGTACACAGGAAACGTGCAGCTCTCTGGTTCTACCCGCATGGCTCGGAATGCACGAGAATAGAATCGCGTTTGACCGTGTGTAGGTGCACAATAGAACAACACCCACAATCTACCGTAGCGTGTACATGTGTGTGTGTGTAGATGAGAGAATTATGTTTGTTGGCGTGCTGGATAAATGTAGTGTACACAGTGGACGCGCGTATATTAATGCCCGCTTAACTACATCCTCTGTGCGTACGATATACGCGTGTCTGTGTGGGTGTACGTGTGTAAATTGTAATAGATCGTGCACCTGTGTGGACACTAATACACGTGAAAGAAGGGACAGGCGTGTAGAATGCATACGATACAAGGAGTGCAGGTTGTTTCTCGACCCTAGTTGCACGCTGACTAGGCGGAAAGACGATTTCGTTTTTGGTTGAAGATGAAGGGTTGATGTACGAGGTTTGATAAGAAAAATGTACTTGGATTGGCTTTGTAAGAGATTGTTAATAAAGAATGATTATTATGAATTTTTGAATTGTTATTGTGAATTAACCATTTGCACTCCACCTCCGTTCCATTACAATTCCATTCAAGTTTCATTTATGTTGAAATAACGCAAATTAAAATAAAATAAAAATTAATGAATTCGCAGAAAGAATTTTTTCTCGAAATAAAAGTCTCACTGTAAAAATGTATCTACTTCGATGAGTCCTATTTTAAAAATCACCCAGGTGAAAAGAATCGAATTACAAAACCACCGTCTAATCTCTAAAGGAGAAAATACTCTATATAAACTCCAGTTAAATCGACGATGCTAACACACATCATATTGTGTCATCAATTTTTCTCTTCACTTGCGAGATCTTCAGTTGCACGCACAGTCGGTGTGTGTGTTTTTTAAATCAAACCTCCTATCCCAGAATCGAGATCGTCTAATTAACTCGACGCATAATTAGCCGCTTTCTGTTTACCGATTTATACTGCTCGAGATCGCTGTTGATTCACATACGTGAGTAAATAGCTGGATGACGGTCCCCGGCTTTCTACCGAAGAAGAACATGCGAGCGTGTGATTCTTGTTCTGTCGACAATCATGAAAGTTTTGTCAGCAGCTCGTTCATTTTCGACATGTTAGAACGTTAAATTTAGCCGACGTGTAAATTTCCATCTGTCCCCCTTTCTGTATAATAAGTTTCTTCATTTACGCCGTCGTCGCATACCGTCCAAGCTGCTTTTTATGCCACCGAATCGAATTCCTACACCTTCTAGTGCCATACGCTCCAAGCAACGGAAGTCTTGCCGGTTCTCCCGTTTAACAAACCTGCATATGTGTACACGCTGCATGTGTTTCCCTCGTACGTGTCCTGTTTTACACGGTTGTATGCGTGTGTAAAGCGAGGTTTGTGTCGCATATGTACGCTTCGTGCACGTTGCTTCTTGGTCGCTACCTTGTCAGGAATTCAGACGGAAGCCATATCCATGCCTCGTGAGTTCCCCTCAGTCCTGAGAGATTTTCATCGATTACGCTCGATCTTAATAAGTGCATCAACTTGTTGGAAATTTATCGGTATTCTCGTTGAGAATAATTCATTTCGGATACTTTGAACACTCGGGACAATCCGAAATTCGAACGCTTTGAATATTCGGTACAATTCGAAATTCGAACGCTTGGAATATTCGGGACAATTCGAAATTCGAACGCTTTGAATATTCGGGACAATCGAAAATTCGAACACCTTGAATACTCGGTACAATTCGAAATTCGAATGCTTTGAATATTCGGCACGATCGAAAATTCGAACGCTTTGAATTTTTGGTACAATCGAAAATTCGGACACTTCGAATATTCGAATTACCCAAATAAAGAATTCATATTCAAAGTTACCCAAATTATTCGAATAGTTCCATAGTATAACTGTAAGTTTCACAGCTCCAGTTTCACAGCTCCAGTTTCACCACCATATTCCTAAAACTTCTCATCATAGAGCTACAACCTTGGCCACTTACTAGAATCACCTCGTAACACACCTAGCGATGATTGTCATTATCGAGGCTCGTCTCGATCAATCAGATAGACAAGAATTTTTATATTAATTAACATCAACACGCGAAGTTAGTATTTTCACGTGGTGTGTAACTACATTTCTCGATACGAAACTCATCGAAAGTGGCACGAGACTTAATGACCCGATTTGCAATGCAAACGATCCTCGTGATGCGTGGCACGTTGCTGTTTCACGTGGAATTGTTTCGTTCCAAAATCCACGTGAACCACAGGTATACTTTATCAACGTTCGAATCAATAAATATTACAGTTAGGAACGGAAGAATGTCGATTCCACGAAATTCCTCGCCTGTTCCTTTATTGCACACCATTCTCCTCTCTGTATACGATCGATTCACAACCGTGATTTCGATAGGAGCGAACACCTTTCCAGCTTGGCGTATAAAAAAACGGCTTATTAAGAATTAACCATCGTTAATTTTACCCACGTTTCTTTCACGTTCTCACAACGAGGAGAACTGAGTCATCGGCGTGGCGACTCCGTGTCAGGTGGTTCCTCGTTATCCTGCAAACGCATCTTCATTGTCGAATAGTGCCGCGTTTGCAGAGAAAATAATCGCCAGAACGACCACACCGCCGCACCATTACCATCATCCGTGGCACGTTCGCGGTTCCCATCTATCCTGCAGAAAACAATAGGTCGTCCGACAAAGAAGCAAAACGAGAGAGAAAAAGAGAAGGCCGCCGCTTTCCTTTCTCAGAGGCTCGCGGAGCTGAAAGAACGACGACCAGGGGCCTCTCGAGGTAGGCTTTCGAAGAGAGGCGCGCGAGCTCGATCCTGAAAGCAAGAGGAAGCCGACCATGTGTTTCAGAACCGCCTAGCCTCTAATTGATAATGCTAATTAACTTTTGCAAATAATACCAGATCTGTGAAACGATTTGTGGGTTTATGGAAAGAAACGTGTTCTTTCGGTCACGAAGGAAGATCCTTCGAATGGATAAGAAGAATTAGTGAAAGCAAATTCCCTTGTGATGAGAAGAAGAAAAAGAAAGATTATTGATCGAGGAAATAGCAAGGAAGCCTTTCGAGTTGCGTGACGTTGGAAAGAAAAAAGATGAGAATCTTGAAATTGATTAGAAACTGTGAGGGAACTAAGGAAATTCGCGCCAGTCCACGACTGTACAAATGACGAGTATATGTAACGAAGAGTTAATTTGCCTCTCTCACGCGAGTCAGGAAGGCCGTTATTCGCGAAGGACGCTTCCCACGTTATTTCGCGTCAGATGTACGCCACTGGCCGTTCGTCTCGTCCAAGGGGACGATCCTGAAATTTTTGTTCGAGCATCGTTAAAGCTAATTTTCTAATTTAACCTCTAATTAGAGGAAGTTTTACTTGATTCTCTCAAAGGGGTTGAATACGGTACAAATTTCTCTCACAGGTATGTCGAACGTTGCGTTCGTTCGTCTTTTTTTTCGCAGAGTCTTACAGCGAGAGTACAATTTTTGCATTTTCAAACGAACAATCGAGATTAGCTGATGCAAAACGAAAGTGTAACCAGACTGTCGAGGATCTTACGAGACTGATCGATTTTAACGAGGATTGGCTATCGTATAGTCTGTTTCTTTTTCAGGGAAAATTCAAGGAAACGGTGTAAATTAGGAGTGATATTCGGCTGTTTGGATGAAAGTCAAAGGAATACTTGGAAATAGAATTTGATGAGACTGGTTTCGGTCGAAGTCAAACGAGACGGTCACGCGCTACCAGTTGCAAGGTATGAGTGTCGAAACACCCCATAGTGCTCCAGAAGTTCGGGTTTCCAGATTCCAACCGTTCCCCGTTTCTCCAAAACCTGTAAATATTTTCATTCGAATTTTCTCTATGTGAAACAGTCACCTAACCGACAAAAAGAATCGACGAAGAAGAGAAAAAATGGATTCACCGCGGTGATTGTTGTTCTTGTGGCAGAAACGATTGTGAGATTCGTTTCATCATGGCTGGCGACGGGAACCGGGGAAAATATGGAGAATTCGTGCCGGAAATACGAAATTCTTGAGCAACGAAAG